TACTGTATGTGTGTGTTTGTGTTTCCTAGCAGAGACAGTATAGCCTCAGCCATTGCATAACTCAGCATAAGTTATTCATTATACCAACTAATACAGTGACGTGTCGTTCCTTGCTTATTTCTCCTTAAGACGGAAAAAAAAAATGAGAGAGAGAGAGAGAGAGATTTCTACACAAATACAAGTGAAGGAAACATAAGGAGTAAATTCAGCTCAATAAATGGGGCTTATCCGGCTATTCTTTAAGTTGTAATCACTGGTTATTAGTCATGCGCTGAGTTTTAGCTTGTGGATATAAAAGGGGAAAGAAAAAGCTTCCGACAGACAAATGAATAAATGTTAATCTTGTCTTCAAGGGTTACTTTGTGTAGCAATAAATATTCACAGCAGGACGTCGCCCGGCGCGACTGTGGATGTGTTCTTTAATTGAAGGTGTGTATTGAGCGGACAGGTTTCCCGCGGGTTGACTCGTGTCAGACGTCCCATCCAGCCGGCTGTGGAAAAGCTGTTGTGGCAGATATGGATTAGCGTCAGCCCCCGTCGCAGTGCAGGTATCACATGTCTCTGGTGGCACCGCCAACGCTGCCCCCGCGACTACTAATAAACCTCTTGTTTTTTCTCGTGTTGCTCGGCGGACGCTTCGACGGACGCTTGGGACAACTGTTTTGTACGGGTGCCAATCCTAATGCCTGGGCTTCCTGGCAGATCAGAGGTTCTGAAAGTGGAGGGGGTGTGTTTGGTGGAGGAGGTGGTGGTGGTGGTGGTGGGGGGAGAGAGAAAAGAGATAGAGAGAGGTTGTCAAAACATCTCCTCATTCCCTCCTCAGCTGCTTCCTCACCATCTCTTCTTCTACCGCACCCTTGCTGCCAAAAGCCAGAAGGAGATCAAAGGAGGCCGACATGAAAGGAATCCCTGAGATTCTGTTTTTCAGTGCCCTGTCTCCCTGCTCTCTCTGTTACAGATATGGAAATGCTGAATCCCAAATACAGCCTGTACCTCGGCTGCAAAGAATGCCCTGCCTCTGACTTTCACTTTCTCTCTCTCTCTCTCTCTCTCTCTCTCTCTCTCTTCCCTTTTGCCGCCTCTCCTCTCCTCCGCCTCGTCTCTCACCCCTTCATCATCATGTCTCTCCATCCTCTGCTCTCGCCTCTCTCCAGCAGCCCTCAGGCTTCCAGGTAGATAGCAGTTGATTGGCAGCTGCTGTGACAGTCAGTGGAACCGGCTGAGAGTGGATGAGTGTCAGCCTTGCTCCAGGGGCTTAAGGCAGCAGCAGTGTTGTAGCTCCCTGCTGGAGAGAGAGAGGCCCATGAAATAAGACTCAGTCAGTTCTTCTCTTCTACTCGCTTCTCTCAACTGAAGCAGGTAGGAGCTAAATAGGTTTTTCAAATTGCTCCGGAGTTTATCCCGAGACTGGAAACTGGAACATTTCCTCAACTCACATCCTGTCATGTGCTTTCCTTCTCTCATTCCTCTTTTCCTACCTTTTGGTTTTGATATATCTGTGTGTTTATTGTAGGTTGTAGCATCTTGTTTTTTCGGGGGGCTCTTTAAAATTCTTTTTCACTGCTTCACTCCCTCCCTCCTATCTGCTCTGAATCCTCCTTCTCAGCTGTCACGCTACTTGACAATTAGCCATGCTGCTCCCGTCTGTGCATCACTAAAAAAAAAAAAAAAAACTTTTCCTCCTTTTGAAAAACTTCTGAATACAACTCGACGCCCGCTGTACAGCAGCCACAGGGGGAAAGTGTGAGAATTAAAAAAAAAAAAATGAAAAGAAGAAAAAAATTGAAACGTGAAATCGTCTCAGTTCTAAGTGGCTGTGACCAATTCCCAGATGGAGGGAAAGCGTTTGTGTGATGGCGTTCGCTGTGTTGCCTCTTGAGCTCTGTCCCGTCAACAGCAAGAATTGCGTCAGTTTTCCCTCCGGCCGAGCGTGCCCACTTCTCCACAGCACAGGCAGAGGACGGGATGGAGGGAACTCGGAGAGAGGCAACTCAAATGAGGATGCTTCATTGGGGGTACTTCTCAAAATCTCTGAAGAAAAGAAACCCGCTCTGAAGATGTTCTGCAGACGTGCATCGATGATAAGCATTGATGCTTCGATGATGATCAAACAAGGAGGTTTATGTCCTTTTCAACTACGTCTTTGTGTGTTACAGGCTACAAACAACGCTCTCACATCTGGAAGTAATAATTAAGTGAGTGTCACAACTGGACCTGATAGACAAACACACTAGTTTGTAATCTAGATACTAAGAAACTTTTTAATTTTGCTCGGTGGAAATATTCACGGCAGACTGACATTAATATGATATGAGTCACTGCTAGATATAGACTTGATATAAAATGATGAAATTATGGCAACATCCACAGCTCCGCCTGCTGCCCATATTTCTCTGATATGATTGCAAAATACTTCTCAAAGTTATTTAAAATTAAACTGTGCCATAGCATCTTGTTGAAAACTTTCATTGGGGATTAATTGAACCTCAATGTCACGTAAACTTTCACCTGCACGTGAAAAACCAACGTCTCCAACCTGGAAACAAGAAACCAGCTTATCAGCCAAGCGTCCCTTTGTCTGTTTGATTTTATGAGTTCGACGACTTACAGGAAGTTTGATGTCTCAGCACTCAACTTCCAAGAACGGGGGTTCTAACCCTCAGATTTCCAAACAGTGGGAACTTTTCACGTCTCTTTGGGTTTAGGGGACGAACAAGCACTTTCAAGAGCCCATAAATATTGAATGCAGGATAAATGCGGACCCATTTGATTCTGAAATGGAGGGTGTGTGGATGAGTTTAGCCGTACATGTCAGATACCCACAGAGTGCTCTGGAGTGTCTGGTGAAAGGATGCATGGCATAGCAAAGTGGACCTAATTAGAGGGATTTGGAATGTATTTAAAAATGAATCACACTTCGCCGCGACACCAACAACAGTATTCACCACTTCTCTAAATGGGCAGCTGGCAGGCAGAGGGCTTGTCGGGCTGCTAAATACTCGCACCAACATATGAATGGGAGGCCTGATTACTTTGTCACTAATGATTCATTGGCTCGCACATACACTCTGGCAGTATAAATCCCTCTGGGGACAGCCCCTCTCACTCTCTCTCTCTCTCTCTCTCTGTCTCGTCTGTGTTCATAGCCACCTCGGCATCTTCACATAGCTGTTCTTGTCATCGTCGTCACTGCAAAAAACGCTCAGCCAAAACAGAGTTTCATCCTTCGAACAAGTACAAAGATTCTCCAGTTTCAGATCTCAAGTTTTAACATCTTTTAAAGAAACCAGAAATCAAAATATGTGTCGAAAAAAGAGCAGATTATCCCACTTGTGTAAAGAAACAGCAGTTGATTGAGGAAAAATTCCTAAACCAAATTGATCGGACTGTGTTTGCGGTTAAACACAAAGCAAAGTATCTTTGCATGTCTTAACACGTACATTTACACATTTAAAAATAAGAAAATTACCTCCTCAACCTGCCGGATTTCTTCTATTAAGGCCTTCTTATTTTGTAGCACCACGTATCTCTTTTCGATTGCCTCACTGGTGCACTTTTTTTTTTTTTAGTAAACCCTTACAACATGAGGAATATAATTTCAAGATCGGATTGGAGTGTGATTAGAGTGAAATGGGTGAAGCCTTCGGTGATAGGGGAGCGTCTCACAGATGGCGTCGGGATGCGCGGAAACATCTTAGGAAAAAAAACAAACAAAAAAAAAGACAGTCTGCTTTAATTGCGCAAAGCCAGCATAAGAGATGTCGCTGTGAATTACAGCAACAGCAAACCGCACGGGCATACTCACACAGAGGCATAAATTCAGACGCAGATACACAAACACATACACTCTTAAGCATCATCCCCTGCATAGGGATTGAATCAAAAAAAGAAGAACAGGGGCTTCTAAACTTGTTTATATGCAGATTTCCCTGCATTGGGGTGATGAAAAACAGCAAATACATGGAAAAACACTTGTGCTATTTTTACCCTCAGACAAATACGATGCATGGTACACGAAAGCTGTTTGCTCCCATCGGCGATTAATGCTTTCTTTGTTGCTTACTCTCTCCACATCCGTGGCCTTCCATTAAACAGATTTTGCAGGTAGCACAAAGACATAAAAAGGAACTCATCTCAAGTCTGAAATATAGATACTTTTGTTCTGTCTAGCAGGGTGTGTACGAGGCTGCTACTGTACGATTGCTCTGTTTGGAAGGAATAAGAGGTTAATCTTCTTGTGAGAGGTTTAGTAACAGGTTGTGCTGGCTATGAAAACCACTTGGCACTGCTATATCCACTCCACTACGGCAGGTCATATGCTTTTATTTCTCTCTCTCTCTTTCTCTCTCCCTCAGTCCAGGAGCCTAAGAAAAAGCCTTGACTCATAAGTAGTAGATCAGCATCGGCTGATCTAACCTCACTCCCATGAAAGAGGAAACAGTGTAGTGTTTCTTCTTCACCGTAATCAGACTGCTGTGTCTCTTTCCCTCTCTCTTGTTAAGTGGGTGACTTGGCTGTAGTGATGAGCAGTGTGTGTTAGACTGATAATTATGGGATGCTGAGGCGAGTTCTCCCTATCTGGCCTGCGAAACGTGGCAACGTATCACCTTTGTGGGAATGGAGCAGCTGCTCGCTGTGGGAGCCAAACCTGGCAACCCGGAACATCCCGTGGTACATGACTGCAGATGTTGCAAGATTAGAGAGAGAGAGTGTGTGTGTGTGTGTGTGTGACTTAAATCATGATTGAGCGCTTTGGTTTGCATATAACTGCATAGCGGTACATTACCTGAATGTGAAAACACACACACACACACACACAAACTGTATGCACACTACATGAGTATCCTGAACATTATATACATGTACGGTATGCACACTTAGAAATACTCATATTTACTGCTTATGCAGAGACACACTCTCAGACACAGACACATCTCTGTCTCTCTTCATCCCCCCAAAACACACACTAACACACACATATCTTATTTCTCTCTCTCCAGCTCGTAGCTGTATACGAGGAACAGGACCCACACAATGGAGGTGACGGCACCAGCGCCAGTTCCACAGGAACGCAGAGTCCCGAACCCTTTGCCAGTGAGATGAGTTCGGCGTCTGCCTTTCAGCCTTACCAGACCAGCGGCGAGATCGAGGTCACTCCATCCGCCCTGCGATCCAGTGAGTCCAATGACGAGTGTTACCTTGAATTATATCTCCACTAATAGTAATAATAAGCTGAAGATCATCATTGTGATATTAATAAATGGTAATGCACATGGAATTTAAACGCCCATTTCTACAGCTTTGCTTTTAGTGTATTGGCAAAATAGCTTTAAAAAAAATTAGATAAATGCTAAAGATCGAACAAAATTATGAAAAACTCAAATTAAACAACCGAGTCTTGTAAAAAAAAAAAAAGACTTCCAGCTTACTTCAGTGATTTTTTTACCTTCTGTAGCTTCTTCAAATAGCAATTGATATTGTTTAGAGGTACAGTGTAGAATAAAAATGTAATTGAATGCTTTTTAAAACATAAGTAGATTATCTGTGCTATCAGCGGGAATTCAAACTGCAAGGATATAAAGGTCAGGGACATGAAAGTGACATCTGAACAGTTGTTGTGCATGAATGCGCTAAATGAGCTCCGTTCATTGAACGCCCTCATTTTCTGGTGAATGGTAAACTGAACGCATCCTAATTTCCATCCTTTGCAACTAATGAGCGTGAACGTGAGCGTCCGGCGTCTAGTGCTGGCAACTCAAACAGCACAGGTACTGGTTCTGCTGAGGCCAGTTTGTACGATGCATTTGAAGGACTTCATTAACAAATCAGTGCAGATTCTGATGGGAAAGAAAAAACCTACATTTTTATGCAAATTGTGTCTGTCGGGTCTGAAAAAAACTAATCAGCCACATCGGCTATGAATTTGAAACAACATACTGATTTGAAGCATCTTTTGAAAGATCTGTGGGTGAATGATGATCACAAGAAATCATTAAGACCATGAGCCAAGAACCATGTAGTTCCGCCACCTGAGTCAAACTCACAACATATACACATAAAACAATGTACTCGCTTCGTTTTTTTCTTGGCTTTTAAAAGTCCTCTCTGTCTGTGACTCTATGATAGTACACAGGAATTAATTCAGTTCGTGAAGTCCCACTGGTTGGGGGCTGGGGATGGATGGGTAAGAGGAGGTTCTGCTGAAAAAGATTGGAAAAGAAATAGAAGAAATGAAGTTCATTTTAATCTGTGTGAACTGAACGTAAAGCTTGTAGAGCTCTTGTAAAGTGTGTTAGGAGACCAGATAAGCTAAATGCAAACAAATATTTGCCCAGGCCTTGGTAAAGTAATGTTATTGTCTTGAATCTCCCAGGCTGTCAGGATGTAGGAAAGACAAAGGGATTAGAGGTCGTCATGTCTCATAAATTCATGCATGTGAGTCATGGGACTTTTGTTTACGAGCCAAACCAAAATGCAACAGAGTAAACTTTTCCTACTCTACTCTGCAACTCACCGGGCAGCATGTGCTTTACTTGACATGCTTCAGGTGTATTGTGTGGAGCTGAGTGTCTGTCAAGTCTGCGCAGTGTGTCCAGACAATGGCGGTGCACTGACATAGACAGACAGGTAGGAACTGAGACAAAGGAAGGAACTGAGACACTGTTGGATACTCAGTCATGCATGAGCAAGAGCACACATGCCAGAGCAAGTCGGACACACTCACACGCACACACACACACACACACACACACACACACACACACACACACACACACACACACACACAACCGGAAAATGGCACACACACACACACAGTCAGTGACTCAGATGGTGCTCATGTCCACATATTCACGTCCCATGAAGTGGAACCAGTGAGCGGATGCAGAGCTGTCTTAAAACTTCAAAGGACACCTAAGACATTCAAAGCCAGCATAGACTCACACACATGCACATGAATGAACAGTTGACTTTACTCTGCTGCCCTAACCTAAGAACATATCCTAGCTTCTCTCAACCTGCCTACTGGACTGTGGAGATTTATGGAAATTCCTGGGATTGATGCAATTGCGATAGTAAACCAGTAACACAGGGTAGTGTGCAGGTTTGTTTGAACCTATCTGACCTGCTGTCAACTAGCTTCAAACAAACCCACATTTGAAATGTGGACTGAGATATCTTGGTGCCTTTATTCCCCCCCACACCAACAAAAATTCTCCACTACTGATTTATAGCTTCTAACACTGTTCATACAGTATGTGGTGGAAGGATGACTTTAAAAACACCATCCTTCCATTGTGCATATTAGATTTAAGGCTGTGTTGGAGGTCTGTTAAATTGTCCTTGAATAAGGCGATAAATCCCTGGCTTGGTTCCAATTCGGCCCCTTCCCTCACACCTATCTGATCAGCCTCTGGGTACCAGGTTTGTGTGGTGGATTCAACTTATTAAGGGGCTGTCCCAAACCAGTTCGTGCGTAGTGAAAGTGGGCAGTAAAATTCTCAAACAGCAGATTTATTCCTAAGGGGAACCACGGATGCCAGATGATGCAAAGTAATGCGGGGAAACATAGAGGACTGTCATGAATACCATTGTTGGGGCTTGGAAGCTTCATGAGGAATACTGGGGAATATTTGAAGGACAGAAATTGGACTATAGCGTTATAACTTTTTTAGCATGCAGGTTGCGCTAACATCATCGACGTCTAAGCTGTTATTTACAGTTTTCAGGTGATTTGTCAAACTGGTTGTAGTTTTTTGTGATATGCCTGTTTCCTTTGGCGTATCTGGCACTTCACTTTTTAGGGGGTCATCTTTGCAAATTAGGAAGTTTTTCCAGACACTTCACTTATTCGACATCTTGCTAGCATTGTAGTAAGTTGTAAGCTGTGCCAGTCCCAGTGTCAGCGCTGGTAATGTTAGATGAGAGCTTAGATCTTACTCCCTGGGCTATTTGGGATTGTTGATGTTGTTGAATGTATAATTATAATAATTAAAAAAATACAGCATTTGAATACTGATTCAGATGTCGATATTTATGACAATTGAAGCTTTGAAACTTCGAGGCATTCGGTTCAACCTTAGAGCTACTTGGGAAATAATGTATAGTTTGGATCATAAACATGAACCTATAGCTACACCCAAACACTTTGGGTTTAAAAGCCTAGAATGTGTGCTAAAGTAAAATAAAATAAACCATCACTTCGTTGCATATTCTTTTTATTTGTATTACTCCCATATTCAATCGTAAGTCAACTACAGAGGACAGAGTAATATCTATTATATAGCACTTGATTGATTTGGATTATTAATATACGTTAACAAGCTGAACAAGCAAGGCATTTATTGTGTCCATGGTGACAAATGTTTCCTGTTCGTGGTGGAGTGTGGAAGGTGCACTTCTTCATGCCTTGCTGCTGCCCTCCGAAGCTTTGTGAACTCGAGTTCGAGTCCGTATTGAAAAGCTAGTGAGTAAGGATCATTTTAGTTAATTACTCATATCAGTTTTTATTTGGAGGTCAGAGGTCAAGCTCAACCATAAAACACCAATGAATTAAAGTAATTAGTTCATGTATATAAAGTTAAAGAGTTAAAAATCTTGAGCTCAGATTGGGACTTGAATTTTTTCGTAAAGCATGTCATGCCACAAGTATATTTTCATTCTGATGGCGCAACGGAGCTCTGTCTTACCCACCCACACAAACACTCACTTTCCAAGCCTGTTCTTTGCATGACCTATGAATTGTGCATCTCGCATTCAAGAAAATACAATGACAAGATTGCAGCAAAGCAGAGGAACTGACTGCTTCCTACACACTGCCGCTGCCACGGCGATGGGTTTATCTTTAGCAATTTCACAAGAGATAATGACAGCGAAGAAGAGAGACTGTGGTTTGGACCTGATTAAGGCAGTCAGACAGGTGAGGCCAGTGATTGTTTTGTTTTAGGGTAGTTGACATAAGTGCAGTATCGCCAACAAAATGCAAGTAAGATTGCATTGTTTGCGGTATATAGTTGTTTCCTGGAGATTGTATGTAATGTACAATGACTCCTACCCACTTACAAGTTCCTATTTCCACTTCAAAAGTGGCTGAAAAGTTGTATAGGTGTGTGGTGAATAAGCTTTATAAGAGACAGCCAGTCAGACGGTCAGTCAGACAGACAGACAGACAGACTGACAGACTGACTGGCATCATATACACAGTGAAGCAGACGAACAAGACAGACAGTTGATGGTCCCTCCAGAGATGCAGATGAGCAAATTACTGGCAGCAATATTGCATATCAGACATCAAAGTGTAGCAGTGGCGCCCTTGGCAGCTGTGCTCTGAGGCAGAGAATTATGGCTATTTAAAATCATCATCGTTTAGAGCTATATTGATTGTTTTTTCTCCTCCCTACAACTCCCAAAGTCCCAAACTCTCCCTCCCGCTGTCTTTCTGTCCTCCATCCCTCCCGTGCCTCCGCCCTGGGATCCCATTTTAGATTTCCATGCTAACATGTGCCGTGCAGGTCAAACTGCTAATAATTGGATTGGAGATGAGATGTAAATTGCAATAATGAATGTAATTTTCCCGTAATTATACGGACGCCGGAGCTGCCTCTGCCTCTACTCACCACTAAATTCGAATCTTTCAGAAGTAAGAGAAAATGTCTGAAACTTTAAATGATCGCAGGACCTTAATGGTGCTCGTAGCTTCAAAATTGAATGTTTTGTTCTTTTTTTTTTTGCTGAAAGAGTTTTACTGGGGTCCTTCTTTTTGACTCAGGAGTTGGATTTGTATTTCTGACAGATTGCCATTTGTCAGAGTTTTCCTTTTACTTAAAGGGTTTCTGCATACTCTCTCAGGTATGGAGAGAGGGTCCTGGGTGACAGAGACGATACAAAAGGTCGGCAGTCTTCTAACACACAGCCTTAAAGAGGGCTGAGATTAATGCTAAGGGAGAACGTCCTGACCTGCCTGGTGTTTATGTGGGAATCAACACTCAATCACAAGTGTCCAGTCAGAGTAATATACACAGTGCTGAGGTCACAGTTATAAGATCAGTGTCCGCTGTCTAAAGCATCATGCTGTCAACAGCGCTGAATCTATAGGCTGGTAATACGTTGTTTTTAATGACGTCATATGCTTACAGCCTGAAGGAGTTGCCTGTCGGTCAGTGTGAATTACCTTCTCC